CTGGGATCATATACTTTTTTTAATGTTGCTCTAGGGGTTACAATTTATGCCCTTTTCACAACCTACTTAGAATTAATACTTTGGAATAAAGAAAACTCACTACTCCATAGGTTCCTTTATCCTTCCTCATTTATGTTGTAATTGTCCTATATGTCAAGATACATTAAAAGCCCCACCAGAAAATATTTATGTTTTAAGTTTTGCTTTTATACATATTTGCTGTCAAATTATCTTAAGGATCTTAAGGGTGTAAAAATAATCTATTTACCCATATAAGTACCAATTCTGTTGTTCTTTATTGATTCCTGACTTTTTAAATTTTGTATTTCCTTTCCACCTAATAAGCTTCATTTGGCATTTATTTCTTTTAGAACAGGTCTGCTGGTAACAAATTCTCTTAGTTTTCTTTCATCTAAAAATATCTTTATTTTTCTCCTTAATTCCTGAAAGACATTTTTTGTCTAGAAATAGAACTCTAGGTTAATATTTCTTTTCTTTCAGTATTTAATATTACTTCATTGCCTTTTGTCATCTATGGCTACTGATGAGAAATCTGTCGTCACTTGAATCATTGTTCTCTATATATGATGTGTCATTTTTCTCTGGGTGCTTTCCAGTTTTTTTCCCCTTTGGTTTTCAGTAGTTTATGAATTTCTTTGCAATCATCTTGTTTGGAGTTTGCTGAGTTTCATGACCCCATAAGTTTATATCTTTTCCAAATATGGGAAGTTTCTAACCATTAATTATTCTAATATTTTTACTACATGATACTCCTTCTCCTCTCCTTCTTGAGACTTCAGTGACATGAATGCTAGACCTTTTGGTATCATCCCACAGGTCTCTAAGACTTGGTTTAATGTTTTTTAAAGATTTATTCATTTATTTTTTAGAGAGAAAGAGGAGGAGCGGGAGAGAGAGAGCATGGGGGTAGAGGGAGAGGGAGAAAGAGTCTCAAGCAGATGCTGTGCTGAGCAGAGAGCTTGACATGGGGCTGAATCTCATGACCCTGAGATCAGACCTGAGCTGAAACCAGAGTTGGATGCTTGACCAACTGCACCCTCCAGGTGCCCCAGACTTGGTTCAATTTTGACTATTTTTTCTATTGTTTAGATTGGAAAATTTCTATTGAGGTAGCTTCAGTTTTATTGACTGTTTCCTCTATAATATCATCTCCATTTTGCTATTGAGCACATTTAATAAGTTTTCAATGCAATTATTCTATTTATATTCTAAAATATCTGGTTTTGATTCTTTAAAATAGTTTTAAGCATTCTTGTTCTTGAGGACTGTTTCATTGAATGTATATAATTTTAGGTTGACTATAATTTTATTTCAGTTACTTGAGTATTTTACTATCTTCTGGCTTCCACTGGTCTTAATTATTTTATTGCCTTGCTTGTAATTTGTCTTTTCTGTCTGGATAATTTTAATATCTCATTAGTCTTTGACTAACATGCAATTTGTGACCATGCAATTTGATTATTTTGTTCTAAGTGGGTTTTATTTTTTACCATATTAATTGGCATTTATTACTATTTCTGGACTGAGGATTGATATCTTTAAGTCTGAAAAATTCTCAGTTATTTCCCATCTCTCTGGTCCTTCATTTTGGAATGCTGATTAGATATATGTTGGATCTTCTCTTTTCCATTCTCTCTTTTTTCTCCCTTATTCTTTTTTTCTTGTTTTCCATTTCTTTTTCTCTCAGACTTTTATCTTGTTTAATTTCTTCTTATCTAATTTCCAATGCATTAGTTATCTTTGTTGGATTCAATCTTCAATTTAAGCTGTCCACTGAATTTTACATTTCAATTTTCATTAGTTTTACCTAAGCTTATTACATAAAATGTAATATTTTAACATTTATTTTTACATATTAAAATTTTTGAAATACAATTCACATACAGAAAATGGACAGAAAATGGACTAAATAGAAAAATACATGGCTGGAAGATTTGTGACAAAGCAGAAGTCTGTGTAATGACCTTAGAGATTTAGAAACAGAATATCATCAGAACTCCCAAAGGCCACCCATTTTCTTTCCCAGTCACTATTGTTTTTCCTTTCCAGGATAACCACTATTCTAAATTTTATAGTAATGACTTTCTTGCTTTTAGTTTTACTAATTGTCTTGCCATTGGTAGATTCCTTTTTCCCTATGTTTTCCACTTATTTAAATCTATTAAGGATATTTTATATTTTGCCAACTCCAATACCTGATGTCCTTGCAGGAATGATTCTGCTTTTTATTGTTTCCGCTGACTCCCATGGCATCTTGTTTCTTTGTGTGTTTTGTCATTTTTTACTGTGAGCTCAATTTTGTCAGAATGTTATCTGTGGGAAATTTTCGAAGCCTGACTTGAGGGTTTATTTCTCCAGAAATTATTGTGTTTTCTTCTGCTTGGTGCTAGCCTTAATGGTTTCTGAACTACGCATGTCCTGGGAATCTGGGCCCCAAAGTCCATGTGGGTTCTGATCACAGATTCTTTTTTTAAAAATTAACATATAATGTATTATTTGTTTCAGGGGTATAGGTCTGTGATTCATCAGTCTTACACAATTCACAGCGCTCACCATAGCACATACCCTCCCCAATGTCCATCACCCAGCCACCCCATCCCTCTCACCCCCCTCCACTCTAGCAACCCTCAGTTTGTTTCCTGAGATTAAGAAGTCTCTTATGGTTTATCTCCCTCTCTGGTTTTGTCTTGTTTCATTTTCCCCTTCCATTCCACTATGATCCTCTGTCTTATTTCTCAAATTCCTCATATCAGTGAGATCATATGATAATTGTCTTTCTCTGATTGACTTATTTCATTTAGCATAATACCCTCTAGTTCCAACCATGTCATTGCAAATGGCAAGATTTTTTTTTGATGATGCATAATATTTCATTGTGTGTGTGTGTATATATATATGTATATGTATGTGTGTGTGTATATATATATATGTATGGCATATATATACATATATATATATATATATGCCATATCTTCTTTATCCATTCATTTGTTGATGGATATCTATGCTCTTTCCATAGTTCGGCTATTGTGGACATTGCTGCTATAAACACTGGGGTGCAGGTGCCCCTTCGGATCACTACATTTGTATGTTTGGGGTAAATACCCAGTAGTGCAGTTGTTGGGTCGTAGGGTAGCTATATTTTCAACTTTTTGAGGAACTTCCATACTGTTTTCCAGAGTGGCTGCACCAGCTTGCATTCCCACCAACAGTGTAGGAGGGTTCCCCTTTCTCTGCATCCTTGCCAACATCTGTCATTTCCTGACTTGTTAGTTTTAGCCATTCTGACTGGTGTGAGGTGGTATCTCTTTGAAGTTTTGATTTGTATTTCCCTGATGCCAAGTGATGTTGAGCACTTTTTCATGTATCTGTTAGCCATTTGGATGTCTTCTTTGCAGAAATGTCTGTTCATGTCTTCTGCCCATTTCTTGATTGGATTATCTTTGGGTGTTGAGTTTGATAAGTTCTTTATAGATTTTGGATACTAGCTCTTTATCTGTCATTTGCAAATATCTTCTCCCATTCTGTCAGTTGTCTTTTGGTTTTGTTGACTGTTTCCTTTGCTGTGCAAAAGCTGTTTATCTTGATGAAGTCCCAATAGTTCATTTTTGCCCTTGCTTCCCTTGCCTTTGGCGATGTTTCTAGGAAGAAGTTGCTGTGGCTGAGGTAGAAGAGATTGCTGCCTTTGTTCTCCTAAAGGATTTTGATGGATTCCTGTCTCACATTTAGGTCTTTCATCCATTTTGAGTCTATTTTTGTGTGTGGTGTAAGGAAATGGTCCAGCTTCATTCTTCTGCATGTGGCTGTCCAATTTTCCCAACACCATTTGTTGAAGAGACTGTCTTTTTGACATTGGACATTCTTTCCTGCTTTGTCAAAGATTAGTTGACCATAGAGTTGAGGGCCTGGGCTCTCTATTCTGTTCCACTGATCTATGTGTCTGTTTTTGTGCCAGTACCATACTGTCTTGATGATTATAGCTTTGTAAGAGCTTGAAGTCTGGAATTGTGATGCCACCAGCTTTGCTTTTCTTTTCAACATTCCTCTGGCTATTTGGGGTCTTTTCTGGTTCCATACAAATTTTAGGATTATTTGTTCCAGTTCTGTGAAAAAAGTTGGTGGTATTTTGATAGGGATTGCATTAAATGTGTAGATTGCTCTAGGTAGCATAGACATTTTCACAATATTTGTTCTTTCAATCCATGAGCATGGAACGTTTTTCCATTTCTTTGTGTCTTCCTCAATTTCTTTCATGAGTATTCTGATCACAAATTCTGAAGACAGACTTTTCTCTCCTTCTAAGAGTTAAAGCTGAGATAGATTTAATAATGTTGGGGAAATTTTTTAAGGTTCTTGTTTTATGAAAAAATGCTTATCAGATGCTCAGGCCCAAGGCCTTATGTCCGAGTACCAGAGGTCTAAATATCTAAGATCAGCACATGGGCTTACAGCAGCCAAGATTTTGGAATTGGCTTATGCCTCTAGATTAGTGATCTAGGACTACCCCATTCCTCTCAGGATTTCCCCTACTTCCATACAGGTCCAGCTATATGCTTTACAAAAGTTTAAAATTTTACACAACATTTTAGGTGTTTTGTAATGGAATAGCTTTAGGATATCTTATTCGCTATATTGTCAAAAAGAGGAGTTAATTCATTTTTGAGAGCACATAGAATCTTTGTTTGGGAAAAATAATTTTTTGGACCTTTTGCCCATGTCAAGGTAAAACAAAACTCTCATAATATGGCTAAATGACTCTGCATAATAATACACAATATGTATTTTATTTCTTTTGCTGAAAGTGTATCTCTATAACGAGGCCTCTGAAAAGTTAGGTTAGGAAGATGGACTTATTTACAACCATAAATAAAATAACTCTGCAAAAAAGCTGTATAGTATAGTCTCATATTTCACTGAATTAAATAATATGGTAAATATATCTAAATGTGTAAGTGTAATATCCATAATCTTTTACTAACCTTTAATAAATATTTGACCCAACACCATTTTCTTGTTGTAATGCCAATAATTCCACTAGCAGGAAGATTTTCACTTATTCCCAGTCTTTTGAACCCAGTAAAACTTTTTATGTAAAGAATACCATTTATTAGAAAAAATATTCCATCCTGTGATAGGCTTACATCAGACACACTGTGTCTTTCATCCTCAGTCAAAATGTTTGGAGGCACTCTGATTCTGGTCCAAGTACGGAATGAATCATTTGTTTGAAAGGTCTCCATATCGGCTACCACAACAACAGATGAAGGAACACAATCAGCCCAGGCTGCTATTAACTGACTACCATGTGGTGAAGAGATTGGTAAAAATCCAGGAATCTCAGGTATTGTCAACAAAGGAAAGGTCAGCAGGAAAAGAAAATCTGCAATAAAGCAATCTTGAAAAGCCACTTGATTTCCTTTAATCTCCTTTAGCACATCATCTGTTGTCATTGGTATCAAAATATGCCAGGTCCTAAGAAGAAAAAAATAGAAAATAGAAAAATAAAATGGTATCTCTCTTCTCTCATCCATCTTGTACATTGTTGACATTTATCATTTAAAAAAATTTTTTACTTTTATCAACATAAATCTGGGTTAAACAAATCAAATAGCACTAAAATGCTACCTTTGCCCCATTTCTCCTCATTCTTCACTCTTATTCCCAAAGGAAAACAATCTTGACACAGCTATTTCATCTGCAATGGTCTCCAAATTCTCAGATATTCTTATGCTTCTCTCTTAATATATGATTTTTACACATTATATATTGGCTTCTTATATGACAGATGAAGATGTATTTCTCATAAAATATAACTACCCATACAATGCCTCTTCTCCCAGTATCACAGAGTTTAGCTAAATCTATAGTTTTTGCATTGTTTTACAATGTAAATATTGTTTACTAGTATGTCAGTTATTTTACTATAATTACATTTTCATATATACATATATATTCATGATATTTCTCCTAGAGTTAATAATTATTTCATTTTGAAAATTTGTTGTTTCCTAAGTGTTCCAATAGGTGATGTGGTGCTCCACAATATTTTCCACGTGGTAAATGCAGAGGTAATCTAGTACTTGTTTCACTGCATTACTCTTTGAGTTGAAGCCACCATTTACTGGATCCAGAGCTTTTCTCTTTCTTGTTTTGCTAAAGCACATTCTTTAGTACCTCTCTGTGAAAGTATATAAGAACATACATTTTTGAGACCCTGAATATGTGAAAATATTTTACACACCTGCTGGATAAATTGGCTAGGCAGAGACTTCAGATATCTTAGGGCATTTTTCTCCAGTCTTTTTGTATTAAAGTTTCCTAATGAAAAGTCAGATGATACATTGACTTGTTATTTAAATGGTTTGCCTTTCTATAAGTTTTAGGATCTTCCCTTTTTCTCTTGGTATTCTAAAATTTGACAGGGCTGGGTCTATTTTTTGAGTGGATATACAGAATTTGTGAAAATAAGGATTTTCCCATGTATCTCGGAAGTTATGAAAAATTCCAAGGAGAGTTTCTCATCAGGTTGTAGATGTTCAGTAAATATCTCTTGAGTGTCCTCTTTCCTCAGTGTATACATACTTGGGTGATGGCATTCTGCCCACTCAGAATGTGGTCCTGGCAGTTCAGGGGGACCCATGTTGGGCAGTTGTAGGGTCGTCACCAAACCTCTGTGCCCTAAACCATGCCACCATGAAACGCAATGCAATTACTGTTTTTGCAAGCCACACTGCTGACTCTATAACATCAGTTTCAAGTATAGTTTCTACAATCATCAGTACCATTTTTTACATTGTCCACTGGCTATATGATAACCTCACATATGTGTAGTCACATTATAAGGAGGTATTGGCGACTCTTTTGTTTGGATGGAGAACTGTTTATCTACAAGGCCTAGAAAGGAGCCAACACTCAAGGCCTGGTCAGGATATACTGAGCATTTCAATTTTCCATATCCATTACTTTGTTTTCAAGTGTTTTTTTTTTCATTGTGATTATACACTTCCCAAAATTCTTTTCTTACTTCTTTCCTATTTTATAACATCATCGTTTTCTTTTATGTATATAGTATCTTCTCCTATTTCTGTGAAGATGTTATTTATGCTTTTTTGGATTTTTCTTTTGCTCCCTGCTGTTTTTTTTCCTCTGAGTTCCATTGTTCTCTTTATTGATTTAGGTGTCTGACATTGATGTTGGAAGCTTTCTGTAATTCTCTGGGAGTCTTTGGTTTTCCTTTAATATATAAGAGAGAAGTTGTAACAAGTTTTGGGTCAGTTCTTAGGGATACTTCTCTTTCCTCTTGTGCTCCATTGTGCTTCTCCCCTTCTGACTCCAAATTTAAGTTTTTTTTAAGTAGGTCTGATTAGTTAATGCAAAGAGAAATCCTCTTCTATCTTGCCAGGAGGATATATGTTAGGTTTCCACATTCAGGGAGCAGAGCTGGAGGAAAGGACTGAAGGCACACTGGAGGGTTCCCATCACTTTAGAATTACCTCTGCAAGCTCTTTTTTTTTTTTTTTAAGATTTTATTTATTTATTTGACAGAGAGACACACAGTGAGAGAGGGAACACAAGCAGGGGGAGTGGGAGAGGGAGAAGCAGGGAGCCTGATGCGGGGCTTGGTCCCAGGACCCTGGGATCATGACCTGAGCTGAAGGCAGATGCTTAATGCCTGAGTTACCCAGGCACACCCTCTGCAAGCTCTTAATTAACACAATTTCACATGTCAGATACTACTTCTCTCTCTGCTTTCTACTTTCTGTTCTTGCTTCCCTTCCCATCGTTTCTCCTTGTAGGCTTGCAACTATCTTAGTGAGATAATGGGAAAGAACAGAGATAAATAAATGCATTTAATCTGCCATGTTTTAATTTATCTCCTTTAAACTGAATTTCATTAAGTCATGTTCTGCTTAGAAACATCACTGGTCCCTTAATTATATCCAGGAAAAAAATTCAAGCTATTCCAAATGATTTTCAGGGAATTTCCATATTTTTTCCTATTTAATTTCACTTGCCATATTATATTTCAGGTGTGTTCTTCCTGTTTGCCTACCAGAACTGTGCGTGTTCTTCCTCTCTCTTGGGGTGCTCATTCTATCTTCCCTGTCTTTATGTTCCACTGTCTTTTAAGTTCTGCCCAGAACTATCTCTTCTATTTTGCTTTTTTGTTTTACCACAAAATGTATCTTTTATAAGGATAACCTTTTCTAAACCCAGATTAGTCAATCATGTGGATGGTATTTTATGGCATTCAAGACAGTATTTTTAAAAAATGGAGCTCTGATATTCTCCATATATGCATGTTTTCTTTGTGTTTCTTTTAAAATACCACTTATTTAATAAATTTATTACTCATGTATCATATATACAAAAGAGTATACGACACACACACTTAAAGAATAATACTAAGATGAGCATCTGTGTACTAATCATCTAGATTAGAATCAGAATGTTACCAATACCTTAGAAATGTCCTACACCTCTCCTTCCCCCATCCCCACTTGCTTACACATAATCACTGGCCTGATTCTGTGTTTGCATCCGTGTGTCCATTCCTGTGCTTTTTAAAAACTAGTTTTGCCACAAATATGTCTTTTTAAAACAATACGGAACTGCAAGGATAAATAGAAAAATCCACTAGTGTAGTTAGAAATTCAAAACTCGGGACCCTGGGTGGCTCAGTCGGTTAAGCGTCTGCCTTAGGCTCAGGTCATGATCCCAGGGTCCTGGGATCAAGTCCCGCATTGGGCTCCTTGCTCTGCAGGGAGCCTGCTTCTCCCTCTCCTCCCCACTTGTGCTCTCTCTTACTATCTCTCTCTCTCTCTCAAATAAATTAATAAAATCTAAAAAAAAAATTCAAAACTCCTCTTTCAGTAATTGACAGATCCAGCAGGCAGAAAATCAGTAAGTACATAATTGAACTAAACAGCACCACCAATCAAGTGTCTCCAATTGACATTTAAAGAGTATCTCATCCAACAACCGCAGAATACACATTCTTCTCAAGTTCATATGGAACATTGACCATGACACACCATCTCCTTGGCCATAAAACACATCTTAAGAAATAAAAAAAAAAAACACAGAACGCATACAAAGTATGCTTTCAAAATACAATGTAATTAAGCTAGAAGTCAATAACAGGAAGATAGCTGGAAAAATTCCCAAAGATTTGGAGCTTAAACACTTCTAAATAACACATTAATCAAGGAAGAAATCTCAACTGAAATTTAAAAATATTTTGAACAAAAAGAAAATGAAAAATGTCTTGAACAAATGAAAAAAATACAGCCTACCAAAATTTGAGGGCTACAGTGAAAGCTAGGCTTAGAGGGAAATGTATGGTATTAAGTGCATATATTAGAAAAGAAGAAAGATCTAAAATCAATGCTCTAAGCTTCCACCTTAGAAAACTAGAGAAAAAAAGCAATACAAACCTAAAGGAACTAGAAGAAAAAAATTGCAGCAGAAATCAATGAATTGAAAACAGAAGAACAATAGAGAAAGATGCACTAATAACAAAACCAGATAAAGACATTACAGGTAAAGTTGCAGACCTTTCAAATTCAACAATGTGTAAAAAGAATTATATAACAAGGGCAAATGGGATTTATTCCAGTTATGCAAGTCTGGTTCAACATTAAAAATCAATTAATGTAATCTGTCACACCAAAGGTTAAAAAAAGGAAAAGCATATAATCACATCAATAGATGCAGAAAAAGCATTTGACAAAATCTCACACCTATTCATGATAAAAACTCTCAGATAATAAGCAATGGAGGGGAACTTCCTCACCTTGATAAAGGAGCATCTGCAAAAGTTATGCAAAAACTTAATAATGAGAAACTAGTTCCATTCCTACTGTGAACAAGGCAAAGATGTCTCCTCTGATTACCCCTCCTATTCAATATCATACTGGAAGTGTCTGCCATAGTGAGATGAGAGAAGGAAATAAAAGGCATACAAGATAGAGAAGAAAGTAATAAAATGTTTTTTTTTTTTACATTTAAAACATTAAAAAAAAATTAACATATAATGCATTACTTGTTTCAGGGGTACAGGTCTGTGATTCATCAGTCTTATACAATTCACAATGCTCACCATAGCACATACCCTCCCCCATGTCCATCACGCAGCCACCCCATCCCTCTCACCCCCCTCCACTCTAGCAACCCTCAGTTTGCTTCCTGAGATTGAGTCTCTTATGGTTTGTCTCCCTCTCTGGTTTTGTCTTGTTTCATTCTTCCCTCCCTTCCCCTATGATCCTCTGTCTTATTTCTCAAATTCGTCATATCAGTGAGATCATATGATAATTGCCTTTCTCTGATTGACTTATTTCTCTTAGCATAGTACCCTCTAGTTCTATCCATGTTGTTGTAAATGGCAAGATTTTTTTTTTCTTCTTTATCTCTTCATCTATTGATAGACATCTGGGCTCTTTCCATAGTTTGGCTATTGTGGACATTGCTGC